GTCTTAAGCCTATAGGGCTATTTTGTCTTTAGAGTTAAAATCGCACTGGATTGTTGAAAAATCTTCAATTCAGTTTTCGACAATAAGAACTAGCTTCCAAATTAAGACTGAATTGAACAATTTCCACAATTCTGAGCACTCTTAAATTTAAAGATAAAATAGCCTTATAGGCTAAGACTGGGTGGAATTTCAGGCCTCAGATTCAGCTTGATTGGAGCTTCGTAAAGCTTCGTAAAGCTCAATTAGAACTTCTAAGATCTGAACTCAACTGATTCGGCAATATAGCTTAGCAACCCCTTTGCCTTGTTTATTGGTATTTTACACAGCTTAGACACAGTGAGTCGGGAACCAGTTAACTCCTCATGATTTTAACTTCCCCAAATTCAATCCCATCTATGGAGTACATGTATTTCTTATTATTACTTACTACATACAGTAACTTACTGTATTGTACTGTATTATACTGTATTGTACTTAATGTGCCCTTGTTCAAGCCCAGCATATAATCTACCAAATTCTTTGTAAAATTCTGGTTGCTTTCTGGAGTCCTGTAGCTCGGTGGTTAGAGCACTCGCTTTGCAAGCGAGAGACCTGAGTTCAATTCCAGGCAGGGCGAAACCTTGGGCAAGTTTCCTTACTCCACACGCCTAATAATAATCCCTCCAAAACCAAAAACAATAATAAATTGGTCATTTTCAATCTACGACTGTTTGTGGGACATTGCTATGCGCAATTGGCTGCCGCGTTCGCCCACAAATATACAGTCAATTCACTTTACAATGTGTTCTGTGAAGCACTTTGGGACGTCCTCCTGACGTGAAAAGCGCTATATCAAATGCAAGGATTATTATTATTATTATTATTCCATAATCTCACATCATCCTATCAACTTCAACCTAGTACTGAGTCTGCAAACTCAGATCATTTATATACATTGGGAATAAGAGGGATCTATGTAGATTCCAGAAACATTCCATTCAATACCTCTCCCCATTTAGACTTAGATACCCTTATTACAACTTTTAGCTAGTTACTAATCTCATATATATCTTACCCTTGGCTTTGGTAAAGCAAACATTGCTTGTTGATCTCTGATTTATGATGGGATTTCCCATTGTGTGATGGTTGGCAAATATATCATCATTGGGAGAATAATTCCATCAAAACTAGGTGAAACCATTGTAAAACATATACCCTGTGGTTGGAATTATTGGAGGAAGCTGTTTTACTCCTGGATGTATGGTGATGTAGATCAGAAAGCTTGGTTTATACTTCTTACCCTACATCAGAGGTCCTGGGGTGAATTGGTTTATAAGTGTGAGGATAACAAGGACTGGGGCAATGAGGAGTTGGAGTTTGGTACAGATGAGAATATGAGCTGCGGAGGTTTGGATCAGTTCCATTTTGTGGATGGTGGAGCTCGGGAGACTGGCAAGAAGGGCAATGGAAAAATCAAAGTGTGAGGTGACGAATGCGTGAATGAAGGCTTCAGCTGCGTCAGCTACACAGTTTTAAACTCCAGCAATAATAACAATAATAATCCTTGCATTTAATATAGCACCTTATCATGTCTTCGAGACGTCTCAAAGCGCTTCACAAAATATACTGTAAAGTGAATTGACTGCATATTTTGCAGGCGAAACGTGGCAGCCAATTGCGCACAGCAGTGTCCCACAAACAATCGTGGATTCAGTGACCAATTTTTTTTAAGGAATTGTTACACCCGGAAAAGCAATCTGCCAACCGACTAACGACCGGGTTCCTACTCACTGCTAGGTAAACAGAGGCGTGTGGAGTAAGGAAACTTGCCCAAAGTTTCACCCTGCTGGGAATCGAATCCAGGTCTCTCGCTTGCGAGGCAAGCACTCTCACCATGGAGCTACAGGACTCCAGTCTTGAGATGCAGTAAAAAGTACGAGTGTGTGAAAGAGAGAGAAACAGTTAGACAGTGCCAAACGCACACACACAGGGAGTGTGAGAAGGATGTGATGTAACTAGTACCCGAAAGGCACGTCTCTTTATGGACTGGCACTGGTTCAGCTTGTTTATCCGACTGTGACCTGGAATCAAATTTGTTGAGAAAGATATAATGAGGGTGGTGTGGCAGGGCCTGCTGGAGTGACTCACATAAGTGCTATCCATAGTTAAGTGTTGTCTAAAACAAATTAGACTAACCTGGAAAACATGTCATTTTTTTAGGTTCAGCATAACTCCATACTGCATCAGTACCTAATTACTGATTAGCAGGTTTGCTCTTGCCTGTTCAAACTGCACAAAGTCATCACAGCAAAGCTATTCTATTCTACAGAGGTACTTTACATAGATGCACTCAATGATAGAGGTAAGGATACGCAAGAACCTTTGTGGGATTTCTTAACAGGATTTTCTAACAAGGAATCCCATTAAAATTCCCATTTAACAATGGAAACTCCAGTAGTAGGTGGCCTTGGAGCACCGTTGACATAAGTTTGTGCTGCACTGACTTTAACTGTAAAGAAGTTATCCTCCTGGGGAGGAGCGGAGTCTCCTTGGAGCTGAACTGGCTCCAAGGTGACGTGTTTGGCAATGGGATGTCAGAATTGAGCCAACCCTCTAGACTGGTCTTGGTGGTCCAGTCCTGAGCCAGACAGGTCCACAGGGCGTTACTATTGCTACCAGTTGGTTCATCGACAGGACTTGGAAGGACAAATCAATCACTGAGGGTAAGGACTCTTCCCACTCAGCTCCCGTTAACCCTGCAAACCAAAGCCCTAATAGTTAGGGTGATCTTAGCTGGACAAACAGCTGGAAAGCTTATCTTGCAGTGCACACAATGGTAAACTCTGTGGTTTTAGTTGGTTAGACTCCAGCAGTACCTCAACGCACATTCTGGGGTCCCCAAGCCTTGGCTCTTGGCAATCTGCGCCTAGTACTCTTTGGGATTGGTAAGCAGAATGTGTACCTCAAGGGAGAGAATGCACATTCCATTCAACTAATATCTCTGGAATTTCCATGTGTAGGTGGGATACATGAGACTCTGTTTGGTTTGGATACTCTTAAGCATGGTGATAGGTTTCTGCATGTGTCGGAGACCTGGTTGATCAAAAATGATCAAAAACAAAATAACCTTAAGGATCGCATGTGGAGTCCTATAGTATAATGGTTAGAGCATTCGCCTCGCAAACAAAAGGACCTGGGTTCAATTCCCGGGCAAGGCGAAACCTTAGGCAAGTTTCCTCACTCCACACACCTCTGTTTACCTAGCAGAAAGTAGAAACCAAGTTGTTAGTCGAGTGGTGGATCGATTTCCTCTTCTGTGCACATTTGGCTGCCACATTTCGTCCACAAAATATACGGTCAATTCACTTTACAGTATATTCTGTGAAGCGCTTTGAGATGTCGCAACCAAATGCAAGAGTTATTATTAACAACAAACAACACAAACAGGATCCCCAGAAATCATATTGTACGGTGCTCTGGTCAAGCAGCACCTGGAGTACTTAGTACAGTTCTGGTCAACGTGACTTAAAGGCTTCCCAGAACAATACTTTCTGATGCACCGAGAAAGTAGAACATGAGGACGCAGGATTAGCATTGCAAAGGGCAATTTCAGGACAGACATCAGGAAATAAATCTTTACCAGAGGGTAATTAATAACTAGAGCCAATTACCAAGAAGGTTGAGACCAGAACTTGGGATGCATTTAAAAAATAGTTTGATGTTGTGATGGGAGAACAGTTGGGAGGATGCAATCAGTTGGCTTTGATGGGCCTTCTTTATCCAAACCTATCCTCTCTTCATTTGGATGAGGGAAGAATATTGGCCAAGGAATCAGATGAACTCTTTTCTATAAAATAGAGCCATGGGATGATTAACATCCACCCCAAGTGACAGATGGACCTATTGCATCTGAACCCATTTTATGAAGGTTTATGGAAACTTTATAAAATGAAGGCAATGCGTTGAACATCTCGTATTTGATGTGCTCTGAAATGATTGGTTTTGTACATATTTTGCAGCTCATTAATTTTCTGAAATTCAGTTGCTCTTCTTTCAATTGATGTTTTGATTTTAAAAAGATAATACCGCACTTGAGTTTAATCTCAGTGCAGTGCTATTTGCTTATTGCATCCTTTTTATCCTCTTTTAACAAATGGACATTGAAAGATCAAAATTTCCAACTGGGATACAACATTTCTGGTGGTCTAACTCATGCAGCCTTCCCAAGGAGACTACTTACAAGGGCATGGACCTTGTTCTGTGTCTGGTCACATGGGTCACATGTAAGTGTCAACTTGATAGAGCTCGCACCTCTGAATCAGGAAGGTTGGGGTTTCAAGCATGTTAGAATAATAATAATCCTTGCATTTGATATAGCGCCTTATCGCGTCATTGAGGAGTCTCAAAGCGCTTAATAGAATTATATTGTAAAGTGAATTGACTGTACATTTTATGGGCAAAACACACAGGACACAGTATTGTCTCCCAAACAGTTGTGGATTGAATGACCAAATTGTTTTAATTTTTTGTTAATATAAGGCTTTATATCAAATGCAAGGATGATTATTATTACATATAAACTAATTTTAAAAACAAAACATAAAACACGTTAAAATATATTAATCAGTAAACAGGAGCACAAACTTGCTGAAGCTTCTTTAATGGTGTCTGTAAGGCAGATTGGTGTTTGGGGTCAGTGTACCCCAAATTGTCTACAAAACTAGTTGTGACAGAGAGGACTTAGAATTCTGATCAAATCACTTTCATCTGGATTTCAAATAGCACTTGTGTACATTGAGAAAAGTACCATGCAGTCTATTGTTCTTGTGCCAAGTACATTGAAAAGGGCTTCAATAATTCAAGAATGATCTTCTGCATTACTAAAGATGCTGCCATATGAAATCATTTTTTATTTCCAAAAGAAAACTAGAGTCAGAGCCCAACACAATAAGCATTGTACTTAACCTGAGAACAATGAGGTCCAATCAAAGAAATGCCACCACGTTCAAGATTCAATCAAATAAACATTTAATGATTTGGGCTTTTCTCATTCACATTAAAGATAAACTGTTACATGTTCTCACAATGACTTTTGAACAATAATGCATTACATTTCTGAAACCGCGCTGAATTTTATATAATTCTTTGGATTATCTGTTTTACAACAACAACAATTTACATTTATACAGTGCTTTCCATGTTGGAGGACATCTCAAAACACTTTACAGAGCTTATGAGGTGGAGGGCCGGGAAGCTGAGGAGGTTAGATAGGCGGGGGAAAGGTGACCAAAAGCATGATCAAAAAGATAAGTTTTAAAGGTGGAGGCGAGAGGGTCTCTGGGATGGAATTCCACAGACTGGGGACAGAAAGGCTGAAAGCTCACCCACAGATAGTAGGGCGGATCAAGCAGAGAACATGAACAAGGTTAGCTGAGCTGCTGGGATAGTAAGATTGTAGGAAGTAAGGTTGTAGTGAGCCAGTGAAGCCCGTCCAGTGACCATGGGGGTGCCAGGCTCACAGAGCCTGTTGCGGCAGAGGACATGGATGGGTGAGTTCTAGATCACACCACAGGTACACCATACTTTATTGCTGTGTTCTGAAAAATTGCAAATACAGTTGACAGAAAGATAGCACACAGAGAATAACAGAGAAACAGGTAAACCAATAATCCTCCCACTGTAGCTTTGGCCAGGGAACAGTTTATTGCAGGATATGAATTCATTCAGAATATCACTAATGTTGAGTGATGACTGACAAATAATATGGTTTCAATGTAAGAAGCCAAGCAACAACAGCTCACCCTCATTGTAACAAACACTTTTGAGATGGAGCATTCCACTTCTCCCAGTCCTTGTCTAGTCACCCAGCTAAGAGCAATGAAATGCATTATCAGTGTGGAAGGCTGGATTGAGTGAAAGGCTTAGTTGAATGGATCTTCAACTACTATCTTCGAGACGTCTCAAAGCGCTTCACGGAATATACTCCAAAGTGAATTGACTGTATAATTTGCAAGCAAAACACGGCAGCCAATTGCGCGCAGCAATGTCCCACAAACAGTCGTGGATTGAGTGACAATTTTTTCAAAGGGATTATTACCCCAGAAAAGCGATGTGCCAATCGACTAACAACTGGGTTCTTGCCTCTATGAAAACAGAGGCGTATGGTGTAAGGAAACTTGCCCAATGTTGCGTCCTGCCCGGGAATCAAACCCAGGTCCTCTTGCTTGCGAGGCAAGTGCTCTAAGCACTAAACTACAGGACTCTATATTTTTTTTCTATCATTATTTTATTCTACCCATCAATAACAATACAGTTATGCTGTCTTCACTTACATGCTAAAGAAATTGCAAGTAAAGCAAAAGTTTAGAAAATAACACAGGACTAAACCAGGGGACGAATGGTTGAGTATCCTGACAGCATCTATGGCGAAAGGAAAGTGAAGTAATGTTTCAAGTCGATGACCTTTCGTTGACTCACTTTCCTCTCTCCATAGATGCTGCCTGACCTGCTGAGTGTTCCCAGCGACTTCTGTTATTATTTCAGATTTTCAGCATCTGAGTATTTTGCCTTTTGGTTGATCTATTTTACCTGCCCAATTGCCCATTCAATTTCTTTAATGTATCTACAGTAGAATGCTGCATAACTGCACATTAATGATCTGCGTTTGAGTTCAAGATCCTTGTCCTCACCTTTAAGGCCTCGAGTTCAAGATCCTCGTCCTCAGCTTTAAGGCCATCCATGGCCTTGCCCCCTCCTACATCTCTGACCTGCAGACTCCCTACTAGCCTGCCCGTTCCCTCCATTCATCGGGCTCCGGCTTGCTCCATGTCTCCCGCCCAACCCGCCCTACCATCGCTGGCCGGGCTTTCAGCCTCTCTGCCCCTACACTCTGGAACTCCATCCCACGGTCGCTTCGCCTCGCTTCCTCCCTTGCCTCCTTCAAGGTGGGTCTCAAGACCTTTTTCTTTGACCGTACCTTTGGTCTCCCTCCCACCTCTCTGCCTTCCCTCACCCCTACACCACCCCTCCCCCATGCTTGGGCCCCGACACCTGACTGTTCAGCGCTTTGGGACATCCTCCCGACGTGAAAGGCGCTCTATAAATGTAATTTTGTTGTTGTTGCTGCGTGTTTGGTTATCCACATTGGGTCTCCAATGTTAAAGTGAACCCAGATTGTGATGTCAGCAAAAACATTTTAAGTGTGTGAGACAGGTAGACACATACTTAGTTAGATTGGTACAGAAAGAGAGACAGGCACAAACACACATGATATCTGCACTGTTTTCACATTCACAATAGATTCAGTCCTAATTAGTGTGGATATTTAATGTTTCTTAAATCTAGCAAACTTTTTTAGCTTTGGGTAAGAGGGACCTGATTCACAACTCTAAGTTAATTGGTAGGTTTAAACATCAGGATATCAGCTATTTGTTCTAAATTGAAACTCCAGTGCGATACTGCAGGAGGATTACATATTTAGCGATAGCAGCAATCAAATGCGACTCTAAAGTGATGTTTCACCTGCCTGTTGAAGTAGATGTTAAAGATCCCATGACACTATTCAAAAAACGGAAGGGAATTGTTTTTCTCTTCTAACGGTCAACTTAACAGTAATTACCTGTGAAGTGCTTTGAAATGTTTCAATAAGATAAAGTGCTAAAATGCTAAAGAAATGTTTCTGTTTGTGCATGAATATCGCATGACCAATCGCGAAAAGTAACATCAATAGTAAGAGACTAATAAAAGATCGGATAGTCAATGCTATTCCACAGACACCCTGTGACTATGGAGGGGGTGGGAGGGGGGTCTAACATAACATGACTATGGGGGTCTCACATAATGTTATCACTAAAAGAAATGTGACTTGACTGTCTAAATAAATGAGATTTCCCGCCATTATTAGTATTTAGTGGAAGAGATAGGTGATGAGTGTACGCTGAGCTACCTATATCTGTTGTAGATGTCACTAATTAATTATGAACAGTAGTCAAGACAAAAATGGGTGTTGCAATGATAAATAGCTCCTTGGTGGGGATTTTAATACAAGAAAAACAATATTCATGCTGGCAATAGAAATAAAGAGCTTGACCAGCACTATTTCCACCAGTATTCTCCTTGTTAAATCCACAATCAACTGTAAAACTGTCCCATAGCTCATTTGACCTGATGACTCCTGCAGAAGCCAAGGATTGATGGGAGCTGAGACTGGTTTTCAATTTCTCAAGATGAATGCATAACATATTCCACATATTAAGATAAAAATAAGACAAAGATAAACATATTATCCAAGAAAAATCCATTCAGCCAAAGTTATTTTTACCACAAATTAGTCATCTTACAAAAAAAACTGTTTGTTTATTTCTTCATGAGAAACCGTGTAGCAATTAAATATCCACAATAATACTTCACAATAGCCCTAAACTAGTTTTTAAATATGTACTGCAGAGATTTGCAAGATCCTCATTTCTTTTCTTTTGTAAGAATACATAACACTTATCTAAGAATCAATGAAGACACTTGCATGAAGTCACGATTGATAAATGAATGTGTTTAGGAAATATAGTTCATAAGTCAGATGAAGTTGCTAACAAGGGGATCCTAAGCATTAACATGATCTCAAGAGAAAAACACAGCATTTCACTCTGCAAAATAAATAATAATAATAATCCTTGCAATTGATAACACACTTTATTACGTCATTGAGATGTCTCAAAGCGCTTCACAGGGTATACTGTAAAGTTCTGACGAAAGGTCATTGGCCTGAAAGAGTTCCGCAATGGGCTGTGAAATGTGGTTAATGAAAGTCAATGAAGTGTGCCTGGAAATTGGCTGCTGATTATTCTCAACTTTAGGGCAATGATCACTTATTTCACCCTGTGCAACTGAAGCTTGCCGGAGCTGTTCATCAAAAGCCAATTTGATGCCTCTACATTTGCCAATGCTGAGCAACATAGAGCACTTGAGACCAAATTCAATGATTGTGATCAGAGTAATACTGTAACCCCCTCCAAGTGATCCTAGCAATGAAGATTTGTTTTAATACCCAAACGTATCCTCAGAGATAGCATAAGACATTTTATGTCATTTCATCCATCTGGAGATTCAATTAGATTTGGATGAAGAAAATCCTTCAGCCCATTTGATCTCATCTTTCCAGGTGAACCACCTTACTGTATTTTCGTTACAGTACCAAGCTCTGTCTTGAATGAGACCAACATCCTAGTTTCACCAGCCTCACTTGTGAAGTTCTACCCAGGTTGAAACATTTTGCCTGACATTCCACTGTACCTGATAGTGAATTATTTTACTTAATGTAAAGTATTGGGATGCGTTGGAGCATTGGTGATTTGATGAATGATTGTACACAGGGCGAATTGACCAATCCCTCCTACATCACCCTAGAAAATGAACCAGACTAATAAAAGTTCAACACTCCAATGACCTCACTCAAACACCCAAGCACTACTATTTTTAAATTCATGACAGATAAATCAACAAGCTCAGTAATGGTGCAATAATAATAATAATCGTTGCATTTGATATAGTGCCTTATCATGGCTTTGAGAGGTCTCAAAGCGCTTCACAGAATATATTGTAAAGTGAATTCACTGGATATTTTCTGCGCGAAACGCGGCAGCCAATTGCCCACAGCAGTGTCCCACAAACAGTTGTGGATTCAGTGACCAATTTATTATTTTTTTGAAGGAATTATTACCCCCAGAAAAGCAATCCGCCATTCGACTAACAACTGGGTTCCTACTTACTGTTATGTAAACAGAGGCGTGTGTAGTAAGGAAACTACCCCAACGTTTCACCCTGCCGGGAATCAAATCCAGGTTTCTCGCTTCCGAGGCGAGTGCTCTAACCATTGAGCTAATGATATCCTTTGGCACCTTAAAACCATTGTAAAATATTATAGTCCATTAAGTCCAAATAATTTGATCTCTGATGGAAAAGTCACCTCTCAGGTAATTCCTCCCACTTTTGTGATCCTTGTGCGCAATTTTCTTTCCCAGTCTGCTTGGGACTTTGATTCACAGTGCTTTGAATCCCCCTTCTCAAATAGCAAGACACCCACGATGCAGCACCTATGAGTTCTTAAAATGCCCATCTAGCACAGAAGCATTGTAAGAACTTTGTGTGGGAGATAAGCCATGCAACTTTACTCTTAAACGTGACATGTAAGACAGCAGAAAAGTTGTTGAAACTTATGTTAGTAATGCTTTTGGAACAGAAGATTGATCTGTTTGCTGATTTTTTGTTGAAAGTTTGGCCAAGTCTGGGTGAAATTAAAGCACCTGCACTAAGTTTAGTGCCAATGGAATTTTAACCAAATAAACAGGTTAGTGAATGTTCCGACAATTTAAATATGGAATTAAATGTTTTCACAACCTCATTATTAAATTTAGCACTGCTTAAAAAAACAACAAATTACATTTGTAGAACGCCTTTCACGTCGGGAGGATGTCCCAAGGCGCTGAACCAGGGTGGAATAAATTACCGGGTACTAAATTAAGAAAAGTTTTACTGTAAAATCAGATATTCCGCAAATTTTTATGTACCACTGCTATGTAATTGGAATTTTACTCCAATTCCC